TGTGGATGTTTAGGTGTCTATGGGGAATTTGTGAGTAGGATATTGAACGGAATGCGTGACATACGGGGAATGCACGAAGTTTTTTGTGGTGTTTGTCGAGAAGTTAGTAGTAACTATGAATCAAGTAATTTGATTATGTAAGTTTCATTGTTTTATTTAGTACGAACTATAGAAGTTGACAATTTTTATTGAGTTTGTTAGAGAAAGTTATTGTTCGTCGAAATTCTGGATTTGTGATTGTGTTCCTAGAAATTTTATTTTACGTAGGGGTTTGATGTTTAACCATGCGACTCTGCAAAACTTCAGTGATTTTCTTTTAACTTGACGATCTTGGTCGTCCAATCAGTTTGCATGAAATTACTAATACAATCAAAAGGATTTTCCTTATGAAAGTCAAGATTTTTTAATGAGATTAATCTTCTTTCATCTCGTAGATCCAAGAAAATTCGGTTATTCAATGTATCACTGAGAAAATTGAAGTTTAAATCTATGGAAAGGTAAATCAGCCAAATTTGGATGATACGGCGCTCAAAATATTAATTTTCGTATTAAAAAATATCAAGCAGCACGATATATATTTGTCCACTTATAACCAGGTAGTAAAGAAAAATGGAAATAAATAAATAAACTCTACTCGACGGTATGTATCGATAAACTACCGCTTTTATTAAACTGGGGAAAAACGATCGTACTGCCTGGCACTCAAACAGCAGTACAATTTTGATTTCTGAAAATGAATATCTCATAGTCGATATACGTGTATTTATGGGCTGAATATTGTAGAAAACAAATGTTTATACGGCTTCCAATTTTTGGGAATAAATCTCTGATAGCCGATATCATATAAAACTTGCTCTGTTTACAATGATCTTTGAAAGTACTAATTATATATAGAATAGATACAACCGTAATCCTTATAGTGCAATGTTCATTGCCATGTGAACATGTCAATCAGTTTAATTAATTCGAAGGAAAAGTAGTTTATATGAATTTAAGGTCATTTCATTGACCTGTAATCTAAGTCTGTTTAGCACAGATAAGAATGGCGATAAGGAAGCGAGAGAATTTTGCTATCATTATTAAGTGGTCAGTAATACATATGTAGGCGTGTGATGGGAATGTAATAAGAAAAAGAATATATTATATTATATTATATTAGGAAAATGATGTTGTAGTAAAAAAAGGAACTCAACCTTACCCAAATAGAAGTGGCTATTGTGATTAAACCCCAACTAACTATGAGGGGTGAGAAACTTATCAGTATAGTGACTTTCCTTCCAAGCTTGTCAGCTAGGAAAATATTCAACGGCGGTCCTACCAGATGACCTAGGGCTACAACAGCTACCAATGTTGAAGCAGCTGATGCTGTAACTGCAATAGGTGAGTCATCCGCCATTAGTATTACAATGCTTGGAGAATTCCAACCCATAACGAAGCCAAGGCAACCAGCCATCACAGCAGCTGTACAAAGAAAAAGAATAATTAATGTAATACACATTTTTCAACAAAATCCGTCGAATTAGAAAAAATCAGTAATTAAACAATAGAAAAAAATGATGAGCATTGAATTCTCAGAAAACAAGTGAATGTTTAAATTTCAAATATTAATTATTAATTTGTAGAATTATGTAGGTTTATGAAATGTTCCCATAGAAGTGTTCGACAATTTCAATAAATTTTTTTATCCATTCTTCAATGTAGAACCAATTCGATTACATTTTTTTGTAAACGATGTACAACTTTCCAACGATATATTTGTTTTTCTAGCTTCGATCAGTTGACCTTAACCCCTTGACCGCGGAATTCTTCCGCGTGAGTCAACACTGCAACGCGGAGATTTTCCCAAGATTGTTTGCAAATTAACACGCTTCGATTTAATTCTTTTTTCCCTTGAGTTTATTTATTTTTGTGTACAACATAATTAGCTTTCTAACGAAAAAGGATGTTTATATTTAGTAAATGTAAGAAAAAAGGAAATAATGAACAAATACTTATATAGAAATTTTTCTTATATAGAAATCAAAATCAACTAATTTCCGATCTTCTCTTGCGATACATACAACACATAGTTTCCCATATGATAACGTCATGTTTAAAGGTCCAATGTGTGACTCATCATGATATATTTTTAATAAGTAATTCGCCATTTATAGAAAGAAAACATTTCTATCTAGTTCCTCAACATAAAAAAAGAACACTAATTAACAGGTTTTGATAACGAGAATCGTAATGACTTCGTGAGATTAATCGTAAAACCGAAGAAACGATAACACGGAACTTCATCAAAAGCATTTTCAAAGCTGTTTACGATAAAATTTAATTCCAGTTTTCTGGCCGGTATTGACTTCTGCGAACGCGAATGACACTTATTTTATTTCTTATAAAGTCAGGTCTTATAACTTCTAACCATTATTGTTTGAAAACTAATTTAACATCTGGCGAACTTCTCTTGTTAGTGTTGTGCACCCCCTTCCGAGACCATACGCGACCTAAGCCCCTATCATAAATTCTTCGAAGACTGAATAGCCCCTAGCCGTTCATCCATTAAAACAGGTTGACATAAACATGAAGATAAAAAACGCAATTTTAACATTAACAATATTCACATATGTTTTTCCTCCAACAGAGATTTAACCCTTAATAAATGAAAGGGGTCTACTGGACCGATTTTGACATTTATATCCACAGTTCTACCTATCCACCAAAATCATCATTTGCCAACGCATACACTAAAAAAAAGCAACGTTATATATTAAACGCGTAGAATAAACTAATGAACCAAATGAAAAGAAATAATAACAAGAAGACATATAAAGGTTTCTTAGACGCTACTGATTTTCTGCATTATTTTTCTCTGTAATCCTTTAAAAAATAATATCCTTTCAATGTAAATATTCTTAAATATTCTGACATCAACCTAAATTACTGAGCTTATCACTGAAAGATGATTCATGAGTATCATCGAAATTTTTCTTGATTATTTAAAATCTTGCGATGAACGCAATCAGGCCACGAACCCTCTTGTTACCGATATTGTCCTTGAGATGTGGATTTTTTAGTCTTTTTCTTCTGTGCGCAGCATAAAGGATTTAAAGCGCGAATACAACGAAAGAAGTTCGTTTAAAGTTATGTTCGACATGATCCTGTTTCCAAGTCACAGGCGTTTTTGTGTTGCACCAGTTGTTCGCCCGTCATCGCTGCAATTACTCGAAGTGACTACCTCTAGCTGCGATACAGGTGTAAACGCGTCTCACCGTGGACTCTGTGACCCGTTCAGAAAGGCCGACCATTGCACAGATTTTCTGGCAATTTTGTTCGACGCGCCGACGAAATGTTTCAGCACAGTTGGTACGGTCTAGACCAATTTCCAACTGCAAAGTGTGCAGAGAGTATAGCAAAAGAATAGTACACCTTACGGTTTCATTTGAAAATTAACGAAGCCAGGTAAACGTTACAGCTTGTACTCACACATATATTCTTTTGATAACATTTTTGTAAAAATCGTTCGTGACAGACGTGCTTTAAGGAAACAAATATGAACAATATATTAATATACGAGAATAAAGAATTTAACGTAAATGAATTAACAGTGTGCTTCGTGGAAGAAATAGAAATAGTTTGTAGCAAATTTATCATACGCTGTAAGAGTTATTACTTAAACATTCCCTTGGAAATATTTGATGAGAATAATGTGATACTAAATATTAACCCTTTGCATAAAATTTGATATTTAACATTATACTCAATATATTGTATCAATTTGAGAAATATTGAAATAAAATAGCTTTGTCCCTTAGCGCACGTGTGATTTCTCTTCGAGTTAGTTTCACGAAATATCGTCGTTACCTCATCAGAAAATATTAGAATATTCTTATTGAAAAACTTCCGAGTGCAAAGGGTTAATGTTTAAATTTCAAACTGTTCCTACTGAAATTCACGTTTATCGTATAAATGTATTATCATATTTCGTTTAATGTTATTCACCGTTTATGTTTCTCTCTGTAAGTTTTTTGAAACGTACAGTTAATATGTAGTACGCATCTTCTCTATAAATTATACATCTTTTTTATTAGTTCTTATAATATACAAAGTGCATGGTGTATTATCCTTTTACCAGGCACTGTGTGCACATAATTATTTTTATATCCTAAATCCACTGCTATGCTACACCTCACGAATACATTTTCGGCGATATTTTCTTTACCCATGAGAATGAAAAAGTTGCAGAAAAAAATTATCCGACTTCTGTTCCTTCAGAAACCCGAACAGTTTAGTAATAATCTAAGTTCTTTTGCACGTCAATCTTTAGTAAAGTTTGCTTTGACATCTGTCTGTAGTTTTAAAACAATTTTTTTGCTCGAGTTAAACTAACGTTCGAATTAAATAATAGAAATGAATTATCGTTAGCAGCATACAATAACTTGTCTAAACTATGTGAAATTTGTGTGCAAACTTTTATAATAAAATAAAATGGTTCAAAGTGAAGTTTTAATTTTTAGTGAATTTGTCCAAACGAACGACAGTTAAAATCATATAATCTTTGTGATAAAGTGAAATTAAGAATAGAATAAACAGTATTCAATTAAGTACTCATGCACGTTACGTTAAATGCGTAAAATGTATTTACAAAGTTTTTATAATGAAAAAGTGACTCTGTACCTCGTAGTAAACTTATCTTAACAACGAACAGGGATTAAAATCGTAAAGTTTTTGTTGCAAGGAGAAATTAATTATAAAATAAACAATGCTTTACGTACAAGTCGCGATAGCCAAATACTCCCATGTCCTTGAACCATCAGGTGAGGCGTAGGTTCCTTTTTTGGAATCCATGCTCGTGCGACACTTTTTCCATACACTTCCAACAGAGATTATTAAACGAATGTCAATCTGCAACTGAACAAAAGCAAGTCAACTTGGTCTACAGTTCTATTTGACCAATGTGTCAAGATAACAACTTGATATCAGAATACACAAAGTGAATGTAGAAGTTACTTATCGTGTAATTTATAATACTATAGGCACACAAACAAGAGATACAACTATCCGTCCTAACAGATTCGTTTCTTCCTATGTATCTCGATCGTCAAATATTTGTCTGTATATTGATAAGAAACAAGGGACGAGTCGTCACTAATTATAAATTACTTTGACACATTATAAATAAAGTTTACCAGAACAGTGCTTTGAATGAAGACTTCTTTTCCTATTACACGCAAAGAAAATGTACAACAAGCTTTATATTTTTTATTGAATGTTTTCTTATTTCAAAATACTGCTTCGAAATCATGCTTTCAAAAATGTGAATCATTCTTTTATCTCGTACAGTTCTCTTGCATAGTATTATCATTGTGTAATTCTCACATTACGTTGGATATAACTCGTGTAAACAACGTTCAGCAAGATTAAATCGTGTAATCCATAGAACGTCTTCTATGGGCTTACTGTATCATAGACAAGCAATAACTGCTACTACTATTCGTTGTACACTTCGAACTGAAAATTAGCTACTGAAGTGACATCTATAAATATCAATCAAATGTATATATTTCAATCGTCATTACTAATATATAAATCAACGTCATTTATTCATTTCGCATTTAACATGGAACCATTATAATTTCACTCGTTGTTCTAATATTAATATCCCAATGAATTAATACTGCAGCACAAACTGCTAATATAATTATAAATACCTATATTATATATTTATTTTACAAACAGTAATTTCAAAGAGTTAGAACGCGTGTTGCTAGTGTAAACACCCAGTAAAATAATTGCACAAACAAAGAACTGTATTATCTAAATATAACGGAATAAATTCTAACGTAAACACATTGCTGGTTTCGAGAGATCTCGTTTTTATATAAAGACACTTAGCTATGCGACTTTGCTAATCACCACAGCATTAAAAAGTATATTAAATTTGATTGGAATTGGTTATTTATTGAAAACATATTACATAACAATATGATATTTAGATATTTCTATATATAGTGATATAAGTTGGTCTCACCGAAGATCGTCATCCGCACAATTCAGTTTTCTGAAAATTAGCCGGTACGCAACGTGTTAATTAAATCTCTACGTTAAACGTTGAAATTGAACAAATTATAAATCCGATTATCGTATCTTACGTATGCGAGGAGTGTTTTCCAACTCTTATTACCTATTTATTTACTTTTTTCAATGCTCCACATACTTAGTACCGCGCCCCTCCACTTATCGGCGTTTATAGCGCTGGCTTTGCCAGAACGAGGGGAGGTGTTTGTATTCAACGATACGACGGTGTGAATTGCGTTTAAATCGGCGCCCAAGTTCGGCTACGAGACCCGGCGCACCAGAGTTGAAATCCGTAAGACATAACACGCGTGAGTCTTTATGTCCGCGTGATAAAATTCAAGTAACCAGAAAGCGTCTGTAGGTAGTTGCACGGTACGTCGTAAACAGTGTCGGTTGAAATATTATTTGAAGCAGTAACGAATTAATGGTCCATCACACTTTAAATAATCCGTATAACTTTGAACATAAAATATCTTATTTGTTCCAGTACATATTCGAATATCGTTTGAAAATGATAGTTTACTCGAAGGATATCGATGATAGTTCTGGTTTTATTTCGAAGTATTTATTTCCGTTTAGCTTCTTTCAATCGATTCTTCGCGCAGAAGCCATTAATCAATTAGAACTGACACAATTCATTTCGTCCAGTGACTACGAAATTACCAAATTATTCGGATTATTGCTATAATAGTAATTTAGTTCTCGTTTTTCTTTTTTCAATTTTAAATTAACGTTTTTATTTGAAATTTAATTTTCTTTGAAACAGTTTTTCATGTTTCAATGTGTTACGATCTTTGTGAAGTGCGGTTATTGGAGGACTAAGAATGTCATGGGCAAACTAGTAAAGTTTTTAATACGTTATAAACTACGTTGTTTTTTACATCTTTAAATTTTAAGTTTTTGTATCATCAATTTACAGGGAAGCTTTTGAAGGTTAATAGACATTTTGAAATAGTTCTTTTATCTAAAGACATTTTATTATTGGTGTATAACAATGAAAGGGTAAATTAATGAAAATTATTTAGTTTACTTAATATGAAGCCTAGGCTATCTTCCTTAATATTAGTGACATTAATAATATCACTTCGTTTCATCGTGAACACTTTGGACTCTACCCTTATGTAACAGTTACTGATGTTTTTGGAACCGTTTCAACCTCATATAACATGACGACATTACGTGTTCACAAGTAATATGAATTTTCGAGATAACATTCTATCCTTTGATTTACCATATTTATAAATATAGATAAATCATTCACAAACATAATCATTCTCTGCAAGTTGCAATTCATTGTTTATATCTCGAGAATACGAGCTCTTTCTTTGAACGGAATTATTTTGCTTCCTGATATTTTATATTACTCTATCATAGTTCCGAATGATTAATCACGTGCATACAGAGGCAGGGCGAAAGAAAATACTTTATCATCGTCTTTTGAGTGATCTTGATGTACGACTACAGTACTAATTTATGTGGCACTAAAGGAAAGAATATTATTTCGAATTACATGTACTATGACATGTTAATTCGACAGAAATTCAATCGATAACATCAGTTTCATTTGGTGGCAGTAAAACTTTTTAACCCAGACATTACACTTCCAAAACTGCGACTTTCCAAAGCTTCCTCCATGTTAATACACGTTGCGTAATATACTACTACGAGGAACCCTTTTGCTGCAAACAGATATTTGATCTGACTCTGCCACTTCAAACGAAAAGTATTTAAATGGAAAACATATTAATTTCAAATGAACAATTTATCGGAATAACCTTTCATGATTCTAGCTGTATTGAAAACTAGTCATCTCGTGTTTTCAAATGTTATATATTTTATCTACAGCTATATAATAATTGCCATTAACATCATGTAAATAAAATAAAATATAATCAATTTCCCTAAGACATACATTTTCAAGAGAGACAAATCATTTTATTTTGGTTCGTACATGATTTATTGGGAATCATTTACACTTAATCGTTGTGTTACAGTCGACTGATAAATCATTTGATAAAATCACCCATAAAGATTTCAATCATTAGTCTGTTATCTAATGTAATTACAAGTTCCTCGAAATCAGTGAAAGATTATAGATCAGAAAGACTACCTGTTTTTAATTAAACTATAATTGGATCATTAAGTGTCCTGTCAGAATTAGAACAACAAGCTAACCAATATAGTAAATTCTCTTATTTAACACGTTGAACGCCGCGTGATTTCATAGAGTGAAATACAGAAAATGGGAAAAATGCAATACCAAATCATTCGATCGAATTGCGTTATCATTGCACGCATATCTAGTCGAATGTCGTCGCATTACGTAGCATTATTTATCATACAGAAGTATCTTTAAATAATCGTCGTCTAATTGAGTGAACTATGGTATTCGATTTGATCACCGGTCACCGGTGACCCCCATGGCGTTCAACGTGTTAACACGTCCGCTACCATACTTGAGTTACAATATTTCACCAAATGCGACTTGTCATCTTTATGAAATCTAAATCAAATTTAACGAACTACCGATCACTGAAACTGACTTTTAAAAATTTCTTTATAAGAACCAGAAGCTCGTGTTTATTGTGAGTTCAATTCAGTTGCATTTCAGTTTCGCTATTACTGAATTAGTTCTGAATTATCTGTAACTTCTCAGTAATTGTAAAAGAGGAAGTGAGAAACAAGTCATTCCGACCCATCTGATAGTTCTAGTGTTAAGAAAGGATCTTTATCAATTTCGCGTATTTCACATCGTGTGTTACGATTCTCTATAAAAATTCACGTAAAAATCATTTACATTTGTTTACGTAAATCGTTCGAGTTATTACGTTATGGTTATCGTCACGTATATGTAACGCTGGTAGCAAACGTGTTGTTCTTTGGTGTTCTAACATATTTCGTCACATTCAAGAATATATGGAGGAGCACACTCGCTATGCTTGGTTCCGAAAGAATAAGCGGGTGTCGGTTTCATTGGCTTGACGTGATACTTAGGTCCTGGTGAACGACAAATCTCTTTATCAACTGGTCTGCCCGTTATGGAGAACTTCGGCGAACATGTTTTATCCTGGTAACTGTAAGGAGCCGGTGTGGCAATACATTTCACACCAGGAGTACGAATTGCTCTGGAAATTGTACGAAATATTAAATATCAATTGTTCCCAAGTAAATGTATTATTCTTAATATTATTATTGACACTAGAACTACCGAGTATTTAATGCGGTTGGCATGTAATTCATAAGAATTACATTAAAAGTGACTTTTATAATAAAATTAGAGCAATAGATTTTTTTAAATTTCTAGAAACGTTCATTGTAGTATGCATGTTCAGCTATTGATTTGTAAAATAATTTTGGATATTTAATACTTCCGCGATATCAATGATTGCAAAATAAGAAAATTAAAACTAGTCATTTTGACTGGTTCGGTAGTTGTACTGTTAAATGAATAGTTTATTTTCAAAATGGTTTAAATCCATTTTCCACAAAGAATCAACTAAACAGTTTTTATAACAGATTATAACAGTTTCAATTCTATATTATCTTTTTACTTTTTAACAGTGTTTTTTGTTTTCTTAAATGGACTTTAGCCTCTTTAAAAATAAACGGCTGCAATAATCGTCTCGTAATTTTATTGTTATTATTAATTATATGATTATATATGTATTAACATTTTGCATCAGTGTTTGATGCAAATAATATAAATTGTATAAGTTTATACGCAAAGTTTCACGAAACATGATTATATCGTTTCACAGAGTGAAAGTTGTAGTGGAAACCGGTGAACGATTTCAAGCAAAATAGCGAACGTAATTCTATATAAAATTTATTTCTCGTTAAGAGCGAAATACGTGTCATTTTCGTGTAATAATCAGTACACAGTAATAAGTCAAACCAGTTCTATCTATGAGTCTATGAATAACTGAAAATAGATTGTACGTGTAACATTTTTGAACTTATCTTTATCACTGTCGGTAGGTGTTTGTAAAAATTTGTTGAATCAAAAATTAAGATACGAATAGGACATGTGGCACGCTTTCATAAATCAAGAACTATACAAGAAATATGGTAGCACAGGAGTCGTCCGACATTTTATCTGACTTATTTTAACGTGTCGCAATAAATCTTACTTGCCCCTATATTTGCACGTTCTTCGTTTCTATATTTAAGCGCAAGCTAGATTTGATAACCATAAAACAACTAGCATCTTATGCTCTAAAATATCAGTCGGACTCGAAGTGTAACCAGCTTAACGGGAAAACGTAAATTATCGCTATCGTTCGTGCAACAGAAAAGAAGTGATAAAATAAAAGGAATAATACTCACAAGGAAAAAGCTGGGCCCTCTCTGGGGAATTTCACGTAGTACGGACCAGGCGTTGTGCAACCGTCTCTGAGTTTGATTCTAGATTTTAGGGAAAATGCTGGAGTCTTTGGCGTTGGTAAAACATATTTTGGACCAGGGCCACAGAAAGTGTCTAATGGAACAGAATTCTTATAATCCGTGTGTAAGAGTTATGAGTAATAAAGAAATTAAGGAGTAAAATGAGATTATAAAAAAATTAAAAAGTAAAGGAGAATTATAAAAAAATATGGAATAGTAGAAAATTGTCGCACTGTTGTAGGGTAAGTGAAAATATAAATTTGATGACAGGGAACTCGGGAAAAAATTAATGGATTCTTGTGTAACTATAAGAAAAATCTACGTAGAAGTAGTGTTTATTTACAAATAGAAATTTCGGGAAATATGTTCTTTTATTTGTGTTCTTTTATTTAAACATAATAGACGAACACTTTAAAACAATTTTGTGATTCACGTCGAAGCATTACAAAAAATAGTAAATATTGCGTAATTGCCTCAGATAACCGTCTCGGACTACAATTCGTTAAGTTAATTTTAGGTTTCTTATCTAAACGTAAAGGGTAACGATTACAGCAGAATTTCATTGTACGGATAAAAAGTAAATCAGCGATCTCCATGAATCAAGGATTACAAAATTAGTTACACGTGACTGTTGAAATTCTGAGCGTTATAAAACATGCCTGCCAACCGTATATTCTAGCATTCCAGCTTTTATGACGATCTAAATATATCCTACCAAGTTCAAACACAGTAAAACACACACGTTATGTGCTGAATTATAAAAGAGCTTTACAAATACAATGAGCATGAATCGCAGTTTTGGGAAAAACATATGTCGATGTATGTTTCGATAAAAAATTAAAGGAAGACCCAACATTCGTTTAGCGAAATAATTCGTTCAAAGAGCCAAGTAATTGTGATTCTCATTCTAATAATGGTGTCTCAATATAATTAAATTACCGACACTTCGTCCAACTAATCCAAAAGAGAAACCGCCACGTTTTGGATCTGGCAATAAATATTTCGGTCCAGGTCCTTCGCACGCACGTAAACTAATTAATTGTGCACCAAACGAATATGCTGGATTTCGATATTTGGACAAACAATGTTCTTTATAACCCACAAGAGTTTTAAGCGGATACTTCGGTCCAGGACCTAGAAAATAAATAAATTTCTGTCGTATTTAACACGTTGAATGCCATGGGGTCACCGGCGACCCGCAACCAAATCGAATTACTATAGTTCATTCAATTAACCTTTTACCCTATAACAACGTGTCAGACTCGTGGTGAAAATTTTCGACGTGATTTAACATAAATATTACTCAATTCGAATTATTACTCATTCCCATTCGAAGTAAATATTAATTTTCTGTAATCAATTATCATACTTAAGAGCAAACATAGATATAAATTATTAATGACGAGGTAACCGTATCGATCACAGTTGAGAAAATTATAGAGCAAGAGGTTAAACGATAATTATTTAGAAACATTTCTATGTTACAAATAATGCTAGCTAATGCGGTGACATTCAGCTCGATGAATATGCAATAATAATAATCCAATTCACTCGAATGATTTAATATTAAAGTCTTTCCGTTCTGTGTATTTTGCTCTATGGAATCGTGCGGCATTCAACGTGTTAATATTGATAATATTAATACGACAGTACAATATCAATAAACGAATTAATATGACATATTCACTAAGAAATGAGAATTTTGCATATTTCTGTTTCATACTTCTAACGCCGCATATGGCAGTTGCAGTTTTTTTCGCTGGTTTTGGTTCTGATTCGTTGGAGTCCGGTTTCGGTGGCATTATTTTTACTTGATAATTTACATTTCTTTAAAATCGAAAGGGATGGGATATATTCATAATGTTATGTAAACCGAATCATTTTGGAAGTAAACAATTGATTGGTGCGAATATTAATAGTCGCGAACGCATCAGTATTCGGATATATATTTAACAGTTTTAATACGCAAATTCGTACAGTAAAATCACGATTGATAATGTATAATAATATATAACAGTAATATAGAAACAATATAGCAGAGTTTCTGTGGATGTAAATAGATTTTAATAGTTATGAGTACAACAACGAACTTATATTTTTCGTATGCAAAACAAGATACAAATATTGTAAATATATTACAAATGTTTTATAAAGATACATATAAAAACATTTTAAAAGTATATAAAACGAGGTTTCATAAATCTTTCTAATTTTTTTCATAGTTTTTCAATTATCTAGGAGACTTGAAGCACACGTGTTAATCTTCGTCTAAATCTGTGACGGGGACTCCTGCGCATTCACTGTGTCTGATACCAAAGGTGTACATTGGCGGATGTCTGCCAGTATTATATTGAGGATAATACCCTGGCCCTGGGCTAAAATCTAGTTCTGTTAATTGATTTCGCCACTTCAAACTGAACGCTGGAGAACTACGCTTTATGAGGTCTAGTTTTAAGTTCCCATAATTTGCTGGGCCAGGACTGACGTTTTCTTGTTTCACTTTATGATAATCACCTCTGTAATAAATGAAAATATGATCAAGATTACTGATTAATTTTAATTTTCTTGTAAGATAAATTTTTACTTCTGTTTTGCCATTTTATTCGTGATAATTAAGGAACATCGAAGACTAATAAAATTGATTTACTTTTAAGAATTTGATATAAAGAATTTATATTTCTAGCTACTATTATATTTATGCGCATTTCTTTGTGCTGTTTTAAATTCCGTGCATAAAAACATTGAACGAGAAAGCATATTGAAATTTAGTTTTATGGTTACCCTTTGCAAAATAAATCGGGACTTTGTATACGTACATAGTAAAAGCACCTTGTGCTGTTTTATCTGGAATTTTGGGACCTATGCACGTTGGCAAACTGTATGCATTTGGGCCAGGACCACTGTCGCTAATTTTCGTTTTACCTCTAGCTTTAATGCTATAAGCGGGTGCTCTGACGTTGTGATTCATGGGTGGGCATAACTCTGGATAATGTGCTCCTGGTCCTGGCCCGGAATCTCTTACTAGAAATAATTATATCAGATATGTGAATTTAATAGCTACTTTTAGAAGAACAGTGAAACTTTCATATTTTTAAAAAGTAAAAGTAGAAATAGTAAAGTTTCACATTTTTTATGATACGATATGAAACACTATTAAAGAAACAGTAAAACTTTCATATCTTTAAAAGGTAAAAGTAGAAATAATATTTTATTTCTATTTAAGCAACCTAACTATTGACTAAGATTTTAAATTACGATTACGATTATTAATTAAGTTTTTGATTAACTAGAATCTTAAAAGTACGATTAGAATTTGGAAAATGAAAATGTAGAAAGAATTGGTGACAGTATTACGAATATTGTGTAATTCTATTATTGGATAATACTATTTTTAAATATTAAAAGAAACATAGTTACATGCAAGTTTGAATAATTAGCAATATATTTACCTTTAAATGGTTTTCTGCCAGATATTGTATATGCAGGTGCATTATCCACTCCATAATTTGTTAGTTTTGCAACATTATATTGCGGTCCAGGACCAACACTTGGTACGACTAGTTTAGTACCAAATCGCATGCTATATGCTGGACCTCTATGTCGAGACAAACAATGACCTTCATATCCAACTAATGTCCGTAATTCATATACTGGTCCAGGACCTGCATAAAAGATAGTTATTAAATTAAATACCCTTATAAATGTCTCATCAAGCATATTTCAAAAATATTGAATAAAACTCGCAAAACGTCATTCATACTTCAATTTATTATTCACTCTATATAATTTAGATAATTTTAAGATTGATACTTTCAGTTATAATTTATATAAAATTCCAACTAATTTTTTAATGCATATTTACCCTTCACCATACAGCTTGGTAAATTCTTCCTATTTTCTTTGTTCTCCATTTTTAAAAAATGTACAATATTTTATTAATACATGCACAATACAACACAACACAACAAATTATTAATTTCGAGGACAAAAGTTGCAAACGATTCATTTTACAAACAGTTTCAGGGTACTCATAATGTTCGACGATATATTCAGAATGATATGGTTTGTTACTTTATTTCTGTTTATTTCCGTGTATTAAATAATCTCAAATCTATTGATCAAAATATTTTAAAATACTGTATTACATTTCTTTAACTAAGCAATTATTTAAACCTATATAAACATCTAAGTAGGATCTATAGAAAATTAACGTAGAAAACTGAAACAAGCAGCAAATGTTCTTTTAAAAACACGTAGATAAGATACTGATCACCAATCTCTGCATCAAAAATTGTCATAATAATTGCAGTAACTATAAACATATCAGAAAAATATATAAAACGAAAATCCTGTCAATATATATTTTGAAACAACATTTAATTTTTATTCCTTTTCTTTGAATAAAATAAAAAAGGAACAAGGAATGGTAACAAACATATCAAAAGCGTTATATAATATTGAAATTTAATCAGGATTAAATTAAAATTAAAAGTATTGCATATTCTTAAAAAGTACAATCCAGCAGACATCATTTGCAGTGAGCTGTTTTTATCAACGGTTCTGAATTGCCGATAACGTTGGAACCGCACAAGTACACTAGCGAACTCTGCTTGTATTGGTACAATCTAGTGAACTTCGTAGAACTGCAGCACGAAAACTTTGTCCAGCCAAAACAATTTTTACCACCGGCAAGATATCGGATCTTGCTTTCTCCACGACAAAGTCTCTTATCAGTGGACTTACCAGCAACAAAAAGGATAGATTCACCGACAAGGGACAAAATAGATTGGACATCATATGGAACTTGGTACTTGTTCAATGGTCTGAAAGACCGACGGTGTAAAAATAATGGACCTTTTAAACCTTTGCACTCGAGACTATTTTTCTCAATAAATATTCATTATTTTCTGATAAAATATCAATGATATTTTTTACAACTGACATAAAGAAATACCTTGCAAATTAAGTAACAGAATCATTTTATTTCGATGTTCCATGTATTGATACATTATATCAAATTTAATATTGAATTTTAAATTTTATCATTTTGTTGAGCCAAATCAAAGAGTGCAAAGAGCTAATATGTCCTCTACGGATTAGGACGATGATCTTAAATGATGTTCAATCCGAATATTCAGTTGTACAACTGAACCAAAGACAAATTCTACGTGTTAATTATTCATTTAACTATAATATGTTTCAATGATGACAAGTAAGAACAATCAAAACTAAAATAAAAATGAATTTAATAACTACTATATAATTAATTCCAATAAATTTGCGATATTAATGAAATGTTTAATTTATGGAGTACAAGGGATAATAGGTAGTACTGTTAATAATACAGGAACAAATTACAGAAGAATATTTTCTATTTAATGTATACAGATCGGAGATATAAAATGTTTAATAGACAATAGACAGCATTAACGTTCAAGTATATTATTTAAATTCGCGATTTCACCGCGCATTCACATCGTTCTGTTATTCTTGGAGAAATATATCCTGCGATTGACTCTGTTCTCACTTTATCAGCTTATAAACGTATGCAACACTAAAACTCTTGGTTAAATAAATGCTAACATTCAATGTAACAGGTGCTTATAAGATTTATATGTTCAAGAAGATATGTAATGTCGCATTTTTCACACCTTAGTTCAATTCCACGAACCACTCATTGTGGTTGCAATAATCGTCAACATTTACTTCGAACGCGTGAAAGAAGGAGATTATTTTATGTAATTTACACACAGATTCCTCTATAGTTCGGGAATATGCTTTCGGATAACCTGTGGCGTACGATAATTGTAAAAAATATTACATTACACTTTTAGATAGTTAACACAGATGCCTTTAATTACATCACACGTTGTATTTAATATCTCAAGTACATGTCTTAGCTGAAGGAGAACGCACAAATGTCACGAGCAATGTTCAAAGTACAACACAAACACTTTTAAAAGCCGAATACTATGAATAAAAATTATTTTCAATGTTAATTTCGTTTCAATTATTTCTGAAGCCTTTGACGTATTTCTCATACTTCGATATTTTTTAGACATCAATGTTTCCCAGTTGAAAATTGAACTTTAAACGTTTCCCGTGTCATTGGAAGCTGAGAAGATATTTAGACGTTCTCCTTCACTCCGGACACCCTGTATATCATTCGAAGAATTTAAATGCAGATTGTTGACTGATAGAATTTCGTATTAGTCTTGTAATATTCTAGTAGCTTTCAGATGAAAATCAAATTAATTATGAAACATATTTTCTGTCTACATCTTGTATAAAAGATTATGTCAGTAGCAGAAACATTGAAATATTAACTATATCCTTGTAAAATTGCTCGTCGTAACTGCAACTTATATTGTACACACTGTTAAGTAAAATATAAGATTAATCTATTTAATTTCTCCTTCGTAACACAGTAAACTTAATATTATACCAGTAATCAGAAATATCCAATCGAAAAATTGTTACTTGATCAGTAACGAGCAAGATGAATGAAAATATAATCGAACAATTTTGATCTTTATTAAACTGCTATATGTTTCTCCTTATTATCTGAGCAATTTCGCTACTTCGATCGCTAATTATATTACTTATCTATTTTAATAATAAATTTGTTAAACCTGACGTAGAGATCAAATGCTTTCGAATAGTAGTGTCAACTTACGATCGACTGATCATCATGCAATTGTGAAAAATAATATTGAAACGATACAGATATTTCTCGTAGGCTACGATTACAATCGATACAATGTTCTCCCAATTTCGTTTAATAACGTTCTCCTACCATTTTTGGAATTTCTCAAGTGACAACTTTTTAAACGCTTCGTTAGCTGAAGTAAATAGTTTTTAATTTTATTTCGAGTATCGTACAACTAATTGCTCATATTAGTGGTAGATACTTGATTAACATTTACTCACAACCAGCTGATGATTTGTGATTGATATTATTCTCCTTAAGGTGATTATTTTAAAAGGAACGTCATTACGCACCACAAAACTTACAATTACGCGCAAGCTCATATGTTCATAGATACACACGAACACACACAGATTGTGAACCTTATCCTGATGGTAGTTATTATAGTTTATACAACATTCGAGTAATTTCTATGCTGTTTCCAGTACACAGGAAATAAATACATTTTAACGGTACATTGGAAAATGAATATGCTGAACATTGAATATTCAGAATTTTCATTTATTACAGTGATGTGTTTATTACTATCTTTATTCTTATTTATAGTATTATTACTAGTAGTAGTAGTATTGTTATTATTATTATTATATGGTGTCCTAATATTTTAATATAATTTAGTAGTTTAATAATTCTTTAAAACTGTGCGGAAGATGGGAGAGACTAGTTGAGCTATTAAATCGAGAAACTTTAAACAAAAGCTAGATTCATAACATTAAAATTCTTCAAATCATTTATTGTTTTACGCATAGTTAAAGTTTTAAAAGGATATAAAGTGCATACATCAAAAAATGATGAATGCAATTGCAAACGACGATTTGTGAAACAGAAATAATATTATTGTCAACACAAATCCAGATAATATAAATAATTAATTAAAATACCAATATTAACAATAGCGGAGCGTATGTAACTGCCCCTAATTTATTGTATAAATAAATGTAAAAGAAAATAAATTCAAATGATAAATGTTTATTACCTTCGTAGCGAAGTGTAATACTCAAATGCTGTGACTTTTAAAATAATATACCATTATAAGGTCTAATATAGTTATATATGAGAAGCACGGCGCAATCATTTAATTATATATATACTAAAATAACTTATATTTGCATATATACAGAGGAAAAATTAAATTTTGTTTCTAATGTTATCGTATAATAACATATTTCACTTAAACATTAGGTTCTCAAAGAAACTAATAATAATGAAAAAATAACAAAATATTCTATTACATTATTTCCCCTTTATATAACTGTAAGACTAATTTTACTATTTCAAGAAGATTACATTTTGAAACAGCATTTATCATATAATAAAAGGAACGTCACGAAATGGAAAATTATTGGTTAAGGACTACGTCATTTGTCTCGACGGATTTCTATTCGATTATTAAATAAGAACAAAATAGACAGCCCCGAATTATTTTATCTTTTATATGGAATTCTAAATAAATCGTCTTTTCTTTATATTCATTACTTAACAATAATATAATGTACAATCAACGTATATAAATCTATTATATATTCTCCACCATTCCAAGCGAACGAGTTTCTTCTGTTTGTTAACACTGTTTCTACCGATGCTGTCAATAGACATCTTTTGAAAGTTTAACTTAAAATTGTATCCTCAGTTTAATCATTTACCTTAATTGAGTTTTGGACATTTTCTATAATTAATTTCCTAATCGTTACTGGAAACGTTGAAAAATTAATTCAAAATGTACGGCTAAACTTGGAAAGTAATTTTAAGTTGAAATTTCAAATGGTGTCTTTTGACATCTTCGATAGAAATAATGTTCCAGTTCTATAGTTAATTTTATAACCGTGATTGGAAACGTAGAAAAATCAATTCAGAATGTACGGCTAAAGTTGGAAAGTAATTTTAAGTTGAAATTTCAAATGGTGTCTTTTGACATCTTCGATAGAAATAATGTTAGTAAGTCTATAACGAGTCACGCGAATTCTTACAAGCGAATGTAAATAAATTTTAAATGATATATTTCCATATATTGTTTTACTGGTTTGTAAGTACATATCTGTCACCCGTTGCAAAGCCTCAGAAAAGATGTAGATAAACATCTTGTGATTCCGTGATAGTAGGAATAAACTCTTGAAATTTACATGCCTATACGTTCCAATGGAATATTACACGTGCACATGTATAACATTTACAATTACGCATTTACACTTTATCTTTATGCTC